GCCTTACATGGACAAGCACCATCTTACATTGGTGGTCTTCTGAGTCCCTACACCCCCAGCAGGTCCCTGAGGTCCAGTGACCAAAGCCTACTGGTTGTGCAGCGCCAGGCTAAAGGTCAAAGGTGACAGATCATCTGCTGCTGTGGCCCCCAGACTCTGGACCTCTCTCCCCCTGAGCCTGAGATCAGTGGACTCAGTGGTCTCCTTTAAAAAGCAGCTGAAGACTCACTTGTTCAAGCTGGCTTTTGTATGACCTTCTTCACCTCTCTCTCTTTATTCTGCTCTCCCCACCTATTCCACCTTCCTCAGGATCCACTGGTTTCCCTCTTTCCTGTTCACTCTCTCTCTTTCTTTACATTTTTAGATTTCAGATTCAGATTCAGATTTCAGATTTCAGATTTATTGGCCAAGTAAAATTACATTTACAAGGAATTTGTCTTCGGTAGATGTTCGCTCTCTAAAACATACAACAACCACAATAAATGAGAATAAAAATACCTAAAAACACATAAGAACATGTATACCCACACACATGTTCATTTACACACACACATATATACATATATGCATACACGCACACACACACACATCCATAAGCATACTGATTAAGTATTAAAAACTATAGTAAAAGGAAGGTAAAAGAATTGACAGATTCAGGAGAGAAATGGCTGAAGGAAAGAAACTGTTCTTGTGTCTGGTAGTTTTTGTGTACAGCGATCTATCGCGTCTGCCAGATGGGAGGAGATGGAAGAGAGTAGATGCAGGATGTGTGGCATCTTGGACAATATTCCCTGCCTTTTTCCTGCTCCTGCTGATGTACAGTTCCTGGACAGAGGGCAGTTGGGCACCAATGGTTTTTCCTGCTGTTTTAATAATACGCTGTAGTCTGCATTTGTCCATTTTTGTGGCCGACCCAAACCAGACAGTGATGGATGAGCAAAGTATGGATTCGACTGCAGCAGTGTAGAAGATGATCAGCAGCTCTTGTGGTAGGCCGTACTTCCTTAGTTGCCGTAAGAAATACATCCTCTGCTGAGCCTTTTTGAGGATGGAGTTGATGTTTGTTTCCCACTTCAGATCCCTGGAAATGATAGTTCCCAAGAACTTGAATGAGTCCAGCATTGACACTGGGCTGTTGGATATTGTTGGGGGGGGGGGGGCAGCACTGTGGGAAGCTTCCTAAAATCCACGACCATCTCCACAGTCTTAAGGGTGTTAAGCTCAAGATTGTGCTGACTACACCAGACCACCAGCCTCTCAACTTCTCGCTGATAAGCAGACTCATCACCATCCTGGATGAGCCCAATGACAGTGGTGTCGTCTGCAAATTTCAGGATTTTTGTCACACCCCTCCTCCACTCGGGATTTCGTAATCCTTTTAATCACAATTGTCTATTTTTTGCTCATTTAAATATATTTTTAGCCATTTTCTTCTTTATCCTTAAGAGTTCAAAAGCGGTAAGGCCAAGATTCACACTTGAGAATCAGGACCCCCTACACACTCACACCCCTGGATGGGAACGGCAGTTGAGGGGGACAAGGGTAGAAATTGAGACAGGGCCCTTAGTCTAGACCTCTTGGTTGCTATGGTAAGCTGTGAAATGCCACCGATCAGCCAGCTTATTTATATTTATGAACTCATTAATAAACACCTGAGCTCATTTCTAGGACAGGTGTTGTTTATAAAGCAGGAACTGTTGCAGTTGCGAGTCAGCTGACCTTTAGAGATCAGGTATCTTGTTTGTGTTGGTAATTGTTATTGCTGAGCTTTAGTTTTTTAGTAGTGCCTCTGTCAGTGCACCCCAGGGCAGCTGTGGCTACTTTTTTTTCTTCTTCCGGCTCTTGGAGGGTGCAGACGCTTTTTTCCTCCTCTCCTCCATATCTTATCCTCCAGGCCCTTTGTCTGTCTCTGGGTGCTGGGTGCACGGCTGCTTCTGCATTTTTTCTGGAAACTGGAAACTGAAATTCACTAAAATGGATCTCGTCAGTTGGTCTCTCAACGCGGTTGATAAAATCTTTTCAACGATGAGAACGGGAGAAGGGGCTCCCGGATGACCCTCCGTGACAGACCCAGTTGGACACATGATGGACTCCTGGAAACAGTGGAACTTGATTTGTTTATCTCAGCTGACTGTGGAGGACTCTGAAGATGTGTGGATATTCCTGGTGTTGGTGTCGGGTTTCCTGCTGATCGGCCTTGGAGGCTACCTGGCTTACCAGAAAATTATCGAGCTGTTGAGGAATGTTGGCCGGATCCTGGAGCTCAGAGATGGATTGCACCGCGCTGTGAATTCACAGACCCACATAATTGTCGAGATGAATCGTAAGCTTGGAACTTTGGCCGAGATTCATTCATTGGCACAAAAGATGGATGCCATCAAGGAGAGAGTGGACGAATCAGCACGGATTGGGATAGATTAACGTCCATTATTGGGATTCTGAGAGGTTGAGGACCAGCAGACTGTAAGACAGAGAGGAAATTATCTCTGTCTGGCCCCAAAACAATTTCTAATCGGAATCTTGTGTCCTTGAGCCTGCAAGGCTCCAACGAGAACTCCCCCCCTCAGAAGATATGTGGAATGTGTCGTCGCTATGGCAACTCAACTCTGTCTCCTTTCCCAGCCTGGACGGGACTGCGGGAAGGCTGCTGAAACATTCCAGGGTCACTGCAACCCTCAATGCTCCTCCCCCTATCCACACTGAGGTGACATGTGCTGCTTATCGTGGCTGCAGGAACTGAAGTGTGGATAGTCCCAACCCACCACCCCACCTAGTGGACACTTATGTTGTGTTGTCTGAAGTCTGTTGCATTTCTGTCTGATGTGTTTTTTTCAGAGCAAAGCTGCCCTCCTGGTGGAGGGTAACTCTGAAGTAGAGGTGTGAATCTTCACTTGTTTCCCGATTCGATTCGATTACGATTATTGGGTCAACTATTCAATTCGATTTGATATCCCGATGCATCACGATGCATCACGATTATTTCATATTGATTTGTTTTCATCGATAAATAGAAGATGTCAGATAACTGCTTTTTATTTTTTTTATCAAAAACGTAATTGACACAACCTGCCATCCCTGAAAATCTCTCCATTCACAACAGGTTAGGACAAAATATTTTAAACATTTAAGAAGATTTAACAAAGTAAAACATCTGTTTCCTGGTTCAGCACCACGCCTCAGGCTCAGAAAAACACGCTTTACAAAATCTCACAAAATCTAAAAAAGTACTGAAAACCTACAGGACACATAATGTAATAATAAAATCCATAATGGGTTCATATATGAGTGTTTAATGTCTCTGAGCAGCTCTAGAGTCAGATGTTTATGCCACAGTTGAAGGGTGTCAGAAATAACACCAAATGAAATGTTTGACTTAATTTCATTTGAACCCAGCGGTTCGTTTCTGAAATGTTGGAGAATGAATCAAGTTCTGTTTGATGCAGAAAATAATAAAACACAAAACAAATTCCACACTTCCAATAATATTTAAGATGTGTGTTTTATTCTTTCTGATAATAACACCGGCAGAAGGCTGTAGGCTGGATTAGGATTAAATTACCCAGCTGATGGATCTCCTTCACTAACCAGCTAACTACAAACCTTTCCACTAACCTGTCCTGTGTGACCCTCACCATGTAACCCTCGTGTCCATGCTGTCTCTGGAGGAGCAGCTAGGAGACAAGACCTCCTGTAACTTAAAATGAATCAAAGCTTCCTCCCAGTTTCTCTTTAAGCTGAATTTAACATCAGTTTATCTTCATGACACAAAATAATAAAGTGGAACAAGAACTTCTATTTCTCTCTCCTTTTAACTTCTCCGTCTCCCTAAATAAAAGACAGACGATCACGCTGCAGCCGCTGTCACTGACCCCGCCCCCTCCCCAAGACCGGCTCTCCCTACATTACAACAAGCAGTCTGACTGAGCGCTTCCAGGAGAAATAATAATTAAATTATGAAAATAATAACGTGTGTTTGGAGGAGCGTCCTCCGATCGTCTCTCTGAGCAGACAGTGTCTCTCTCTCTCTCTCTCTGTCGCTGATCGAGCGAGCGGAGCGGGCTGCACGACAACCCGCTCAATTAACATAATTCACGGCCCAAATCCAACAGAACCGGTCGGGCTGATTCGGTTCCGGTTTGGTCTCGGGTGACAACTCTAGCGCTCAGCCCTGCAGTACCACATTAAGGCGGAGGTAAATGTGGAGGACGCTCACTCTGACAGATTTGGATGCGGCGCTGGTGCCGCCATTAAAAAAACAAAACTACATTCCACTATAATCGATTATGGCGTACTCTTCTACGATGCAGAATCGTTTATGTCCGCATCCCGATGCATCGATTATTTGATTATTTTCCTCAGCTCTACTCTGAAGTGCCTTTTTTCCCTCCACCTGAACCAATCCTCATGTAACCCTCTGATCTCTATTAAGGTAGCGCGACTCAGGGTTGCGAATGACCACAGTCACCAATTCTTGTCATGTGTCTTGCCCATGTATGTCTGATCTCTGAACTGTGTGTACTGAAACTCTTAATTTCCCTCTGGGATTAATAAAGTATCTTTGATTTGATCGGAGCTCATCCCCATCGGTGTATGAATGTGTGTGTGAATGGATGAATGATACACTGTAGTGTAAAGCACTTTGGAGTCCTTACTCTGAGAGGCGCAATACAAGTGCGGGTCATTTATCATTTATAACTGAGGCCCGCTGTAGAGTCCAGTAGTGAGCTCAGATATTTATTATTATTATTAATCTGATCATATGTTGTTTACCTTGATGGAAAACAAAAGTCTGGTAGGATCTGAAGCAGGGGGACCAGATGGTTCTGGTACTGTTGGCTCAGCCCATCATGAACATCTTCAAAGGTCTGCTGGATCTGATCCATTCTGCACTGTATCCCAACAGAACTAGCAGAACCCTTGTCAGCCTTTGACCGGCGGAGGCTGACAAGGGTCATGAATTTGAATTCAGAATGAACGTATGCTTCTGCTGTCTGTTCCAGAACAAACGGACTCTTCAGCAGGAACAGATGAGCTTTCGCTTTAAAGAGAGGATCAAGTCTCAAGGCGTCTGTAGCAGAGACGAGCAGGTATGTGACTTTTGGAGCCTCCTCGTCCTTTCTGGTCTGGCCGGTTGCACTCATCCTCAAAACGATTCCTGTTTTAATCGCTTTGTTTGAGTTTTTGTCACAGATGTAAACAGACACTGCCTTCAGTCTTTTTTTAGCATTTTCACTGTCAATTAAAGAGAGAATAAATAAGAAACAGAATAGAGAAAAACAAATATGTACTAGGGATGGCGGATTTTATTGGTCTACCATTAAAGGGGCAGTCTAATCAGATTTAACAGCGAGTGGAAACCGACCTTTGAGCTTCTATAAACATATAACATTTAGCTGGGGGTTAAAATGTCTCCCTTAATACGGTGTCGGTACAGGATCTGCTCGGGTGCAAGATCGGCTCGGGGTCCTTCGACTGCCGATGACGTCAAAGTACGGCAAACCGACTTGGACAAAATACACTACACCTCTATACTGTTGGAAAGAATTTAGCACTTTCGTTATTAAAATAACGTTTCTTAATTTGTGTTTATAATGGTATTAGTAAAATAAAACACTATATCTTATTCATAATGTTGAACTCCTCTTTGAGCACATCCCTTGAAGAATCATAGGTATTAGCAACACCTGTGAAATTGTATTTGCAGGAAAGAAGTGTGTCCCGTTTATTTAAGTATTTTGTGTTTAGAGTTTTTGACGTCTTGTCATAGACTGTAGCTGCTAGCCAAAACACTGGAGTTAAAAGTTTTCTGGCTTTACTAAAATACCTGTCTGTATTTATTTGATTGATGGTATTTTTACTTTCTATTAGACTCCAAATGTAATCATTTGGCACGTTTGTAATTCATTATTTGCAATAATGTAATCGGCGATATTAGCATTAGCATTCCTATGGGTTTTTCCATGTATATTAGCATTGCGCTAACCACTCGCTGCCAAATTGCAGCCTTTGAGATTAGAAAATCTCCTGGCTTTACTAAAATACCTGTCTGTACTAATTTGATTG